TTGTATATGAGGTTGGCTTTAAAGATACTCTTTTTGACTTGTTGCTTCGATGAGCAAAGATTTGCAATCAATATTTGATTTTAGAATTGTCACCTTACTTATCCCATGGTGTGATTATTAGTCAGCACATGTAGGTCGAGTTTTTCTCTAAATTGCTTATCTTCTTAGTACAGTCTACCATTCTACTTCGCAGATTGTTATTCTCCACTGTTCAAACTGACCCTAATCGGCCACTGTGACCTATGTCCTTGACTTCACAATCATTATCTGGTACTTGATAGATTCGGTTAGTTTACCAAATTAGCTCGACTGAATCTTTTAACCAACAAAGTTTCCCTCTGAGCGGGTTTGTACGTTTAGATGCTACCCTAATTTTAAAACTGTTAATAATTTCACATAAAAATTTCCTATGCTCCATTTTTGTATTGGAACACTAGAGAAGATTTAAATTCTCTCCCAGGTATGCTGCAATTACTCCTAAAATTTTTGTCTCTCTTCTCATACCAATGTTATCCATTTTAGAAAAACAGATCTTCATTCCAGGCAAATGGGTCTGGGGTTGCTGGCGTTTCGAATCATTAACGATAACCAGTTGGTCAGTTACTGGAAATCATGGTTTGTTTGATAGCCACCATTTGTTATCCTTCCAAACAGTAAGCACTTATTTTCATGTATGACTTCTCACACAATCAGTAGGTCTATTTTCCATCTGCTTTTCAACTTCGAGTTGACGTATGAGGTCAAGTGAATCAAAACTTGGTGGTCTGCATCAGTGAAATGAAACTTTTCAAAAAACGCCCTCGCATTTTCAAGGTAACTCTTAAGGCCATCCTTACAACTGTTAAAATAATCATCCAGGATTCGATATTTCACCTGGGATGGTAAATTCATACGATAAGGACAAGCAATTGGCTATCCCAGCAGTTGCTAGGGGGGCCTGAAAGTCACTTGGACTGCATGGCAAAATACCTATGCTCATGAATACTCCCAAATAAATGTCTTCTTGTACATATTGTATGGCTATTCGGGGATAACTATGCGCAGCAAGTGAACACTCCTACCTGAGGTGACATTTCAGTACATTTTTAGACAGTTTGCTGTCAAATGGTTGAGTTATTTCTAGATTTCAAGTCTCTATCCCAAAATATTTTCGTACACTGATTTGCCAATTTAGGGTTTATTGATGTGAACCGATTAGGAGCTGTTTCCTTTTTTCTCAATATTCATATGAAAAACTCAGTAATCGTACTTCATCTACCTCTGGTGAACTCTTGATCAGGCATTTGTTTTCCAATGAGTATTCACACTATTGGGAGTGAATTTATGAGTCTTCGTTGGCGGATAGGCTCCTCGTACAGATGGCTTGGTATTACCTACCATGAGATTTAGATTTTATGTACACGTGTTCAGTACTGGCTATTACGTACATTCCTTCCACTTTGGGAACTCGTCAGTTGGATGTGACCATATCCCAATGTGCGTAAGGAGCTCAGAATCAGCGCCCATTACCCTAAGCGCCAGAGTGTCAACCACTCAATAAGCACATTTATGGGGATGCCCGTGCACCCAGGTGATGAGTCCTTAGCAGGACTGAAATGAATGAGCTGTATCCCATTGCTAGTCACTATTAAACGTAACACAGAGAGCTACTACTATTCTATGAGGACTTCGTTACTGCACAATCAATAGCGAAGCAAATAGTTCACAGAAAAACGACACTCCTGAAGTGCATTTAGTTTTGCTAAGAAAGTAGTAAAGAACCATCATTTCCTGATTCAACTGAAATAATGGTGGAGGTGAAATGCCGTGAGGCATTATTTCCCCCTCGCTAAACATGGTTAGTGAATATATCAATGAAAAGTTTGCATTGTGAAATGGATTAAGGTGTTTTAAGTAAATTTTTGATGCAAAGTTTACACACAGCGGTACGTTATTTTGGTAATCTTTCGAGTTAAATTAACGCTCGTGATCACGTTGACAGTTGGAATATACTTTAGCATTATTGAAGCAGTCATTGCTGTAAAGTTTGCATTAAACATATACTTGTGTATTAACACAGTGGATTGTAAAGCAAGACACAAAGGCGATCAATTCAACGTGAAATTCCACCAATCAAACTGCTCCTTCAAGGTCAATCGCCATAGTCACTTCATCTAAATGGTGATAGGCTTATTCAAACTGGACCAATTAGAGTAGTAGAAAGTCAGACATATCCATTCTGACTTTTTAAGCAACGTTTCTAGTCCCCCCTGCCAATGGAGTGCCTATATATGGAGCACGTACTTACTTCTTGCGTCATTGTTGAGTTTAGTGACATTATCCGGATCGGAGTCTGTCAATCGAACGAACATGTTGTTGCCTAATCATCCTGCTCCTGATTTTAAAGGCCAGGCTGTTATAGGCTCTGAATTTCGTACAATAAGCTTGAATGAATATCGAGGACAATATGTTTTGCTGTTGTTCTATCCATTGGACTTGTAAGTCACATGCAGATCAGATAGCTATTCACACCCTGTGGTTTTGTACCGTTTTTATATCGTCAAATCTGATTTCTATTGTTCCTCTCCAGCACATTTGTTTGTCCAACGGAACTGATTGCATTCAGTGAGAGAGCTGCCGACTTCAAAACTAGAGGATGCCAGGTTATTGCCTGCTCAACTGACTCAGTATATGCTCATCTGGCATGGACAAAACTGGATCGCAAATCTGGTGGTCTGGGGAAAATGAATATTCCAATGTTATCGGATACTAACTTGAGGATATCACGAGCTTATGGAGTTCTGGATGAAGAGGAAGGCCATGCTTTCAGGTGAGTTGAACTAATTTATGAAGAAGTCTTGTTAGTTTTGGGATACTGTCGTAAGATGAAACATAAAGGCCTAAGAAGACAATCGGTACTCATTGTATTTCGCCGTGATACTGAGTAGTGAAGGCACTCTTTCGATAGGGTTAGGTATATGTTAATTGGAAGTTAGCCCGCCAGTGCAGCTATCTTGTGAGCTCACAAAACCTAGAGAATTTCATCTTTCTCCCTTATTGATCCTGACACTAATCCTGGATTGCCTACTGAGTTCCATCCGCTGTCTTTTGGATTTATTTGGGCAACCGTGAACTTGTGCAGATATAGTTGATATTCTGTAGGCTATCAGGTGGTTAGGTCTTTGGTATCTTACCAGCCTTGCTTAGCATGTTTGTCACCTTTGCGCACAATGCTTATGCTGAGAATACTCATATCCCTTAGTTCAGAATTAATTATAATCTTCTTAATTTGCAGAGGGTTGTTCCTTATTGACCGTGAAGGTATCCTACGTCACATAACTGTCAATGACCGTCCAGTTGGTCGGTCTGTTGATGAAGCCATTCGTGTATTAGACGCCTTTATTTTCTTCGAGAAGCATGGTGAAGTTTGTCCTGCGAACTGGAAACCAAATTCAGCAACAATGAAACCTGATCCTGTGGGAGCGCTTTCTTACTTCTCAAAGGTGAACTGAGATATATACTCTTACCATAACTTCATTAATAAACTTTTGATTTTCATATAATCGAGAGCCTTTGTTCTGCGTTTTCGTGTTACGAGTACTTACTTCGCTGTTCAGTAAGATATTACAGATATAACGGGGTGGGACCACTGTGCGACTGAACAGGGACGAGTGGGTTTTTTTTGCTGAGTTTTGACCAGTCGGAAGATGAAGCTATCTTCGTGACGCTCACTATATACGTGTTCATAGAGAATCCATTCCAACTTATTCTTTATGAATTGGAAGGAGGATTGTTATAATGTTGTTGGATTCCTGGTCACATTCATCTTGCCTTCCAGAAGTGTAGACATTTGGTACCGACGTTGATACGAGGAACCGATTACCTATTATTCCTCATTTCATGGCTTAGAAGTAGATGTTGGGGTTAGAGTAAGAGATTGATTGTTAAGCGTTAGGGTCCACATATATAAGCCAAAACCTAGTGTGAGTTGATTGATTGTCTGCACTTCAAGTGGGTTAAGAACCACATGGACGAACCCACGTAACTAACAGATTGTGTTAAAGATTGTATGCAACTTAGAGCTTTGTATGAGTGCTACTAGATGCAGATTCTTTTAACTGACTGAAGGAGGTTATTAGTTTTTGTTATCAGTAGGAGTATCGTTATGCAACTCAGCTAGTATGTCTAATACACCGATGACTGTAAAAATTAAGTTATTAAGAGCCAGTTAGGAATTTCTCTCAGCGGTCTCGGTTTACATGTGGTGAAGCATCTGTTTACTTGGGATCAGCTTTATGTAAGGTGATGTCTACACTAAGGCGATGACTGCGGTTAGCGCACCAACTAGAATCTGACCTGGGTAGGACACTACATGTATTCCTAAAATGTATAGTTTGTGTGTTGAGGTCTTCTATGCTCCTACGACGTTTGCGGTAGATCATATCTTTCCTACTGTTTAAGAAATGTGAATGGAGTCTTGGAAACTATATTCCTTTGTGGAAAAAAGCGTGAGAAAAGTACCCCCTAACTGTTTTCATAACTAACCTTGTGTAGACCCGGACTGACGCGTGGGACATGGCTGGGAGCCGACACCTGTGCGGTTATCGCTTACTAAAGATTAATAGCACGCTTGGAAACTGCAATTAATTTGGACCTCTTCTGTAAGTGGAGTATTGATGCCAGGTCAGCATTCTGGAAGCCATTTATTTGACTTAACGAAGTAGTTGTGTTATCGTTCACCATTTTCATGTATCTGAGTACCTACTTTCTGCGCGTATTTCATCGCAACCTTTGAAGTGACATTATATACGAATGGGTAGTGTTCACTTTAACGATGGCTCATCAATCTGAAACCTATAACTACCTACAATTATGTCCTAAGGGATGAAGAGTTCTAGATATGTCGAGTTCATGCTGCCACGAAGTTTAGTGGTTAATGTGTTGCCATTCCATGACAGTACTTTAAGCTTTATTGCTAAATTACTTTAGATAAACATACGCAAAAACTACTAGAAACTCACCGGTTTGAGAATCTGGAGTTCGAGGCTTACCGTAGGTTGCATCACGAGGTAGTGTATATCATTTTTATATGTTGGAGAAAGAGGAGGTGGAGGATGGCGTCTGTGACCTGGTCGGTCATCACTCACTTTGCTCTCTCTTTCCGGTGGAGTTAGATGATGTTCTTCACGATCAGCTAGAACATGTTTGCAAAAAACAAATGAAATAAGGTTAGGGAAAGGGGTGCAAAATTAAGTAAGATATTCGTGACAGTGAACCACTATAAAGTTCCATTTTTATGGTTTTCTAAGGAGTTTCTTCGACAGCGAGAAACATCCATTTTACAAAATATAAGCATGTTCCGCATGGATAAACCAGTTTATAACCTTCACTCAATCGAATAAGCCCATGAAAGTTGCACATTTATTCCGAATATTCCCAGTCATCAGTTGAAAAAGTCCACAACCACTATAGAGGGCTATAGGTAATTACAGATAGATTTCCATGAAGTATTTATTGGATGGTGGGAAGAGGTGTAGAAAAAAAAAAAACCGAGTCCTTATTGGAGAGTCTTGTTAAGAATGTAGGCCATATACTTCTCATTTATTTGGGAACAGTCATTCCTACTAAGGTAGAGGGATTTGTTAGAACCAGGTGGTGAGAGCACCTAACGTATTCACTGCATCATTATGTCACATCAGCTATTCAGTTAAATAAGGTGGCATCACCGTGTAACTTTTCGGTTTGCCACACATCACGTCAAGTTATGAGATGGAAAACAACTAGAGGGAAATCATGTGACCAAAAGTTGTGAAAAGTTATAGGATGAGAATAAGAGGGTTTAAAGCTACTGATGAAATATGATATAATGGTTGAGATCAAGATAAGATGTAAATGGATTTATCCCGTTGTGACAGATTTTAGCCGTATCATCAAGAATCTCCAAACATCTATTCTCATTGTAATGTTAATTTCAGACGTACGAAATCCTTGTCATTTCCAAAGTCTTGGATGTTTTTGTTTACCTTCATATACTTATTCTCTTAATTGTAATACACTTATGTGCACCTTAGTATCACTTTTTTATCCACTTTGTTCTATGCTGCTGTGAACTGACTGACTGACTAAATCAACATAGAACCTTACACAGGTTAATCAGCTCAAGTTGCCACACTTCGTAGTTCACAAAGGAAAAGCGGATAAAAAAGTAGATTTAGTTGTATGATAAAATAAACAATTTAAAGATAACGTTCAGTGCAAATATTCAAGCGTTGTAAGATATCAAGGACTGAATACATTTACAGCCATATCACCAATAGTTCTCAACCACTGATTCATTTCGTCTCGCTGACCTCAGCAAGGCAGTCTACATCCCCATAAACGCCTCAGACCAACAGTAAGAGACTTCACCGACTAGTGCCACGTCTTATTCTAGTCACCCTTAATCAAACTCCCCCACCTACCATATCACTTCGAGGTAGGCAGTGGGTTGACATGCAGAGTACTTGCCCAAGTCATCTCAGCTGGCTAAGATTAACAACCTTATCAGTCGACTTGGCTGTTTTTTGAATTCAAAATGCTCACATGGTGATTCCACCAAACACAGGCAATGTTACGAAATATCTGCGATAAAATCCCTGTCACCGTTCAATGTCTTCTACTTTTAATAGCCATGTCTCACAGCCGTATAACAGACAGACAGACAGACAGAAACGCAACACAGTGTAATCGTTCTTTGATAGATATTTAGGTATCTCACCACCAGTCGGAGCCAAAGATGACTCAAGTTGACAAATGTCAAATACACCTTCTGTATCCAGGTTGAGACTGCATCAGCAACCATCCCGTTCGGACTGATGCAACTCTCCAAGAGAGTGAAGCGATCGACACGTTCCTTCACTTCACTCTTTACCATTAAACTGGGAGTACTTGCAACAGATGAGTTCTGGAGCGTCATCTGACATTTGAGAGGTACGAGCGAAATGCATGGCAAAAATACTCAGATTTTTGCTGAATGTGTTCAGAAGGCTGTAAGTTTTGTCAGCGTCTTCGTCCAGCAAGAGAATATCTTCTATATACTCCAAGTGAACCAGATTACCACCACCAGATAGGGGAGTAGGTCAATCCCTGTGAAGTCAGACGTGCTTAAGGTTATGTCCATTGGTAGTGTATAATGAAGTTAAGTGTGAAGGGTGACAGTGGGCATCGCTGGTGGACACCACTAGTTGCCGTCAATTCCGGTAGAGAGCATTGATTAGCATTATTTATTTGCTTGGTACTCTCTTCACAGCCAGACACTGCAAAAACACCTCACTGTCAACACAGTCCAATGCCACCTTCAGGCCAATAAATATGGCAAGTGTCGATGACTGGTCAGTAGGTATGTATGTGTTACAGAACGTGTTAGAGGGTGAGGAAGATATGATCGATGCACACTCATCGAGGTATGAAACCTTCTTGGTTCTCTCGAATTTGTTGTTCTCGAGGTTTTATTAGGTGTCAGATAAGGATGGATCTTAGGATCGTGGATAGGATATTAGCCAACGTGATTCCCTCATGGTTGTCATATGAAGACTTCTCTCTCTTCTCATAGATTGGGGTGATCAGTGAAGTAGACCAGTTTGAAGGAACCATCTGTGATTCCCATTCACTGCTTATTACCCCAGTCACTCTAATCAGTCATTACCTAACTCTGTCGATAAAACCTAATGGTGGCGAAGTGTCATGTCATGGTAATTTGGTTCTTACCAGGTTTAGAACAGCCTACTTAACTTGGACGGTAGTTGGAGGACTGACATCGATGTCTGATTCATGTTCAGGTTTGATTTTGTGTAAGTGAAGCGTTACTGAGGCTCTGTGGAAGTGTGCTTCAAAGCGTTTCTGTTCAATATTCTAGCCGTCTGTCCTGAGAGTTTATCAGCGTCTTATTGTTTTCGATGATAGTGTCACTCACCATCTCCTCCTTCTTGGTGTTATACCTAATAAGCCTAAATACTTGTTGGATTTTACTCAGCGCTGATGTCTTCCTTATCTGTGTTGTTTTCGCCACCCACCACTGCTCGCCATTTTTTGAACACTCTTAGATCAATTTACGTTCAATTTCTTTCTTTCTTTATTGTAGTGAGAGCCAGCTGAAATCAGTCTTCTCTTCTGTGAAGTGTGACAACCTGAACAGATAAATTTTTGTCTCAGTTTCTACGTTGATTGCTCTGCCCGTCTGACTTACCTTTTTTATCTAAGAATCTGTGACTGATGTGTAAATGATTCGCATGTTGTTTGTAATACTTTGCCAAGATACCACAGAAGAAACTCCTTGCATATGCGTAGAATCTTTACATGTTTTGTATTGTGCACTTCACTTGATTCTGAATATGCATTCGGATTCCATATTGATTTGTTTATTCGATATAGCACACTGTGTTCGAGCGTTCTGCTCTATCATAGTGCTCAAGTTGTAGTAGTTACATTAAGATATTCAAGTTTGCCTGCAAGTATTTGTGCAACTTCCCACGTAAGTAAATTGGTCAACATACTTACCGACTTCAGTCCTTAATGCCAGATGAAGTTTAAACGGAGACCAGTCCTAAAGTGAGCAGTTTGAACTTAGGAGATAAGAAAAGCATCAGAGACATCTTCAGTTTGCCACTCAGTTTATCCGGGACACTGTATTTTACGAAAGTCTTCATGATTAGGAATATATCGTCTTGATATTTTAGTTCACATTACAGATTTTCTTTTAAGGAGGTCGATATGTATAAAGTCAGATGAAGAGAGAAAGACTTCATAGCGTGTCCATGAGAAAATTAAATAGAAATTGAGAGTGTAGATCATTAATGGACACTATTTGACGTAGATATTTCACTGCAGACTGTAACACAACTACAAGTTTTAGTTGTGAGATTTACTTTCCACTAGAAATAATGCTGCTACAAGACGTTTCAATCAACAGAGTTCAATACTGTCTTTAGGTTCAGAAATGAAGTTAATTTTGAGTGCTGGTAAGTATGCCTATGTTGCATGATCGGAAGATGCTTACATCTACAAACTAACTGGTTTTGATAGGTTCGATACAACACAGGTCCAGTATTACAAAAAAAAGTATATGGGATACTTTACAGTTTTACGTATCACTCCAATTTTAGTATATGTACTCCTGAAAAGTGTATTTAGTTAGACAATACACTTTTCTGGCAGATAAATCCCGGTAGTTCTTTGTCAAATATCGCATGTAAACTTAGTCATCGCTTATAAGAATTATTGAAAACTAGACAATTACGAGCAAATCACTATTCGAGATGGAGTTTAAAACATACCGATCTGATGATAGCCATCTGCATAATTGTCCAGTCATAGGATTAGGATCTGCTAACAGATATTTAAAAAACACCCAACTAAAACAATACAGGATAGTCGTAAGTCAAAGGACAATGAAGATTCGATTGGATAATCAGTCTCTTTGAGTTTCTTGTAGCTTTTCAACGTCAGCAAGCCAATAAGTTTTTCATGGATTCAACAGATTCATTCTACCTAATATGCGTACCCACAGTAAACACATGCTGGAAAAGACTTGTAGTTCAGGATAGGGATGATGACGGTTTGGTGTTCTCTGAGCTTTGACATTTTGTCGTGGATGCTTCATCACTAGAATAAACTACACTCACCTGGTAGGAAGAGATCGTCACGTGAGCTGGTAACCCTATAAGTAGGCATTAGAGATTGTCAGGCTTGTCTGTTAATATGCTATAACTCTTGGAATCATTTAAATGCCTTAATAAGACGAAGATTAGCTGGAATATTTCAGAAACAAGTCTATTTCTCAAGTTGGTATTCATCATGGACTGAAATTAGCTGGAGAAACACTGGGAGCACTGTATAGCTGTTTCGTTCTAGTATGGGACTTCTCATCGGTGTGCACCGATGAGCCCGCCAGGAGTCGAACCCGGGACCAGGTTCCGTAGCCAGCACATTACTACCGAGCCACTGGGTTCGATCCCTAGCGGGGTCATGGGTGTGCACTGCTGAGGAGTTCCATACTGGAACGAAACAACAGTCTAGTTCTCCCAGGTTTCCAGTGTTCCTCAACTGATGTCAGTCCATGAAGAACACCATCTTGAAATCCTACAAGATCCCAAATTTAGATCTATTTCTGTTCACTTATACTTACATCTAAATGAAAAACAGAGAGAACAAAAATTT